GAAAGCACTTTATCTCTGTACATCAGCTTCCTCATCTGAGGAAAATTAGAGTAATATACACTTACAATACTTATTGAACTTGTTGAAATAACTAGTTAGCTAACATCTGTACAATGCTTTAAAGACATTGGGGAGGGATAGCTCAGTGGTTTGAGCATTGGCCTCCTAAACCTAGGGTTGCAAGTTCAATCCTTGAGGGGGCCATTTAGGGATCTGGGGCAAAAATTTGGGGATTGGTCCTGCTTTGAGCAGGGGGTTGAACTAGATGACCTCCTGAGGTCCCTTCCAACCCTGATATAGGACATTACAAAATCATTCTTCCTTTGCTCATGCAAATAGATTCATTGACTTTAGTGGGACTGTTCACTTAGGAAAGGTAATCTGGATTTAGTCCCTCCTCAAATGCTATCCATGGGCTAATTTTATTTTTTAAGATACATATATGTGACCAGACATACACGTAATAAGTGCACTTTTAGAAATCAATCAATAAAGCCTAAATGTTACCATAACATTCTTCACTGTCCTAAGTGTATAATTACAGAAGTTGCATCTTTAGATAAATATGACCAAATACGACTTTTACTTAGGTTAGTTTTCTCTTCTAAATGGTGTATGCCTTTAGAAATTGGTTTCTTTTAGGGCTGTCAAGTGATTACAAAAATTAATTGTGCAGTTAAACAATAATAGCATACAATTTCTTTAAATATTTTTGGATGTTTTCTACATTTTCAAATATATTCATTTCAATTACAACACAGAATACAAAGTGTACCGTGCTCACTTTAAATTTATTTTTATTACAAATATTTGCACTGAAAAAAAACAAAAGAAATTCACCTAATACAAATACTGTAGTGCAATCTCTTTATCGTGAAAGTTGAACTTACAAATGAAGAATTATATACCCAAAAAAACTGCATTCAAAAATAAAACAAAACTTTAGAACCTACAAGTCCACTCGGTCCCACTTCATCCAATCACTTTGACAAACAAGTTTGGTTACAATTTGCAGGAGACAATTCTGCCAACTTCTTGTTTACAAAGTCACCTGAAAGTGAAAACAGGTGTGCGCATGGCACTGTTGTAGCCGGCGTCACAAGATATTTATGTGCCTGATGTGCTAAAGATTCATATGTCCCTCCGTGCTTCAACCACCATGCCAGAGGACATTCGTCCATTCTGATGACGGGTTCTTCTCGATAACAATCCAAAGCAGAGCGGACCGATGCATGTTCATTTTCATCATCTGAGTCAGATGCCACCAACACAAGATTGATTTTCTGTTTTGGTGGTTCGGGTTCTGTAGTTTCCACATCTGAGTATTGCTCTTTTAAGACTTCTGAAAGCATGCTCCATACCTCATCCTTGTCAGCTTTTAGATGGCACTTCAGATTCTTAAACCTTGGGTTGAGTGCTGAAGCTATTTTTAGAAATCAATGGTACCTTCTTTGCGTTTTTTTCAAATCTGCCGTGAAAGTGTTCTTAAAACGAACTTGTGCTGGGTCATCATCGGAGACTGCTATAACATAAAATATATGGCAGAATGCGGGTAAAACAGAACAGGAGACATACAGTTCCCCCCTAAGGAGATCAGTCACAAATTTAATTAAAGCATTTTTTTTTAACAAGCACCATCAGCACAGAAGCATGTCATCTGGAATGGTGGCCAAAGCATGAAGGGGCATACAAATGTTTAGCATATCTGGCATGTAAATACCTTGCAGTGCTGGCTAGAAAAGTGCCATGCAAATTCCTGTTCTCATTTTTAGATGGCATTGTAAATAAGAAGGCAGCAGTATCTCCTTTAAATGTAAACAAACTTGTTTGTCTTAGGGATTGACTGAACAAGAAGTAGGACTGAGTGGACTTGTAGGTTCTAAAGTTTTGCATTGTTTTCTTTTGAGCACAGTTATGTGACAAAAAAAATCTACATTTGTAAGTTACACTTTCATGATAAAGAGATTGCATTACAGTAGTTGTATGAGATGAACTGAAAAATACTATTTCTTTCTTGATCATTTTTACAGTGCAAATATTTGTAATAAAAAATAATATAAAATGAGCACTGTACACTTTGTGTTCTGTGTTGCAATAAAAATCAGTATTTTTGAAAATGTAGAAAAACATCCAAAAAGATGTAATACATTTCAATTGGTGTTCTATTGTTTAACAGTGCGATTAATCACGATTAATTTTTTTAATCATGATTAATTTTTGAGTTAATTTAGTGAGTTAACTGCGATTAATCGACAGTCCTAGTTTCTTTAACTCACAGTTGACAAACAAATTTAAGCAGTTATGTTAAAGTAAACTCTGTATTAGTTCCTGTTCTAAAGGAATTTTAAAACAAATTACTAGTTAAAATAATACGTATTTAAGCAATATTAATAAATTATATTTTTCCACTTTGATTGAATATAGCATGTGTCTGGTCAATTCTGCCCTCACCTTTTACTCCTGTTGCTCAACTCCATTTCTCCTCCCACAACTACCTTTGGCTTGCCTTTGTTCATTCTCTATCTTTTTTATCTTTCTCCCCCTCTTCTATGTCTACACTATGAAATTAGGTCGAATTTATAGAAGTCGATTTTTTAGAAGGCGATTTTATAAAGTCAATTGTGTGTGTCCCCACTTAAGACCATTAAGTCAGCGGAGTGCGTCCACAGTACCGAGGCTAGCGTTAACTTCTGGAGCGTTGCACTGTGGGTAGCTAGCCCACAGTTCCCGCAGTCTCCGCCGCTCATTGGAATTCTGGGTTGAGATCCCAATGCCTGATGGGGCAAAAAACATTGTCGCGGGTGGCTCTGGGTACATGTCATCAGCCCCCCCCCCCCTCCCTTCCTCCCTCCGTGAAATCAATGTCAGACAATCGTTTCGCACCTTTTTTCCTGGGTTACCCATGCAGATGCCATACCAAGGCAAGCATGGAGCCCGCTCAGCTCACCGTCACCATATGTCTCCTGGGAGCTGGCAGACGTGGGACTGCATTGCTACACAGCAGCAACTCATTGCCTTATGGCAGCAGATAGTGCAGTATGATTGGTATCCATCCTCATCGTCTCATGGGTGCTCTTGGCCAGCCTCAGTGAGGTCGCTCGGGGTGCCTGAGCAGACATGGGTGCTCCTGGCAGATCTCGGTAAGGTCTGTCAGGGGCGCCTGGACATAAATGGGAGTGACTCAGGTCAGTCTCTTCTTTTAAGTTTTGTCTAATGGAGATTCAGTCCTGCCTGGAATATTGGCAGAGGGATAGCTCATTGATTTAAGTATTGGCCTGCTAAACCCAGGGTTGTGAGTTCAATCCTTGAGGGGGCCATTCTGCCTCAGGCTGCTCTCCCAGCCAGCAGCACCGCGAGCACCCAGGAGACGATCATAGCTAGCAGTCGTACTGCACTGTCTGCTGGTGAGCACCCAGGAGATGACGACAGCTAGCAGTCGTAGTGCACTGTCTGCTGCCAGCCTACCCCTTGCTCCTCCCGTTCATGAAAGCAACGGTCTACAATTGTTTTGTGCCTTTTTCCGTGTGGGCGCCATATTGCTGTCAGCATCGTCATCCACCTGCCGCTTCCGCTGCCATTCTGCTCTTCTGCTCACGCCACACCACGGCAAGCATGGAGTCCGCTCAGATCACCGCAGCAGTTGTGACTGCTCTAAACACCAGGCGCATTATCCAGCAGTATATGCAGAACCAGAACCAGCAAAAGCAGGCGAGTAGGCGACGGCAGCACAGTGAGGAGAGCGATGAGGATGAGGACATGGACACAGACTTCTCTCAAAGTACGGGCCCTGGCAATTTGGCCATCCTGGTGGCAATGGGGCAGGCTCATGCCATGGAATGCCTATTCTGGACCCAGGAAATAAGCACAGACTGGTGGGACCGCATAGTGTTGCAGGTCTGGGATGATTCCCAATGGCTGCGAAACTTTCACATGTGTAAGGGCACTTTCGTGGAACTTGTGACTCGCTTTCCCCTGCCCTGAATTGCCAGAATACCGAGAGGAGAGGAGCCCTCACAGTTCACAAGCGAATCGCGATAGCCCTCTGGAAGCTTACAACGCCAGACAGCTACCGGTCAGTCGGGAATCAATTTGGAGTGGGCAAATCTACTGTGGTGCAAGTAGCCAACGTGATCACTGACTTGCTGCTATCAAGGGTAGTGACTCTGCGAAATGTGCAGGTCATAGTGGATGGCTTTGCTGCAATGGGATTCCTTAACTGTGGTGGGGCGATAGATGGAATGCATATCCTTATCTTGGGACCGGACCACCAAGGCAACCAGTACATAAACCAAAAGGGGTATTTTTCAATGGTGCTGCAAGCACTGGTGGATCACAAGGCACATTTCACCAACATCAACGTGGGATGGCTGGGAAAGGTACATGACACTCGCATCTTCAGGAACTCTGGTCTGTGGGAACGGCTGCAGCAAGGGACTTACTTTCCAGACCAGAAAATAACTGTTGGGGATGTTGAAATGGCTTTAGTTATCCTTGGGGACTGAGCCTACCCCTTAATGCCCTGGCTCATGAAGCCGTACACAGGCACCCTGGGTAGTCATCAGGAGCTGTTCAACTACAGGCTGCGCAAGTGCAGAATGGTGGTAGAATGTGCATTTGGACGTTTAAAACCGCGCTGGCAGAGTTTACTGACTCGATTAGGCCTCAGCAAAACCAATATTCCCATCATTATTACTGCTTGCTGTGAGCTCCACAATATCTGTGAGAGTAAGGGGGAGACGTTTATGGCAGGGTGGGAGGTTGAGGCAAATCACCTGGCCACTGATTAGGCGCAGCCAGACACCCGGGTGGTTAGAAGAGCACAGCAGGGCACGCAGCACATCAGAGAAGCTTTGAAAACCAGCTTCATGACTGGCCAGGCTATGGTGTGAAAGTTCTGTTTGTTTCTCCTTGATGAAAACTCGCCCCCTTGGTTCACTCTACTCCCTTGTAAGCCCCCCTTTTATCACCGCTTGCAGAGGCAATAAAGTCATTGTTTCAAATTCATTTATTCTTTATTAATTTGTCACAGAAATGGGGGGATAACTGCCAAGGTAGCCCAGGAGGGGTGGGGGAGGAGGGAAGCACTGGGTGGGGTGGTGGAGGAGGGGAGGATGGAAGGACAAGGCCACACTGTACTTCAAAACTTATTGAATGCCAGCTTTCTGTTGCTTGGGCAGTCCTCTGGGGTGGAGTGGTTGGGTGCCTTGAAGGCCCCCCACCGCATTCTTGGGCATCTAGGTGAGGAGGCTATGGAACTTGGGGAGGAGGGTGGTTGGTTAGACAGGGGCTGCAGCAGCGGTCTGTGCTCCTGCTGCCTTTCCTGCACCTCAACCATACACCGGAGCATATCAGTTTGAGCCTCCAGTAGCCTCAGCACTGCATCCTGCCTCCTCTCCTCTTGCACCTCCCTCCTCTCCTCACGTTCATTTTGTGCTTTCCTGGACTCTGACATTGTCTCCCTCCACGCATTGTGCTGGGCTCTTTCAGCGTGGGAGGACTGCAAGAGTTCAGAGAACATTTCATCGCAAGTGCGTTTTTTTCGGCTTCTAATCTTTGATAGCCTCTGGGACGGAGATGATACATGGAGCGATGAAACATTTGCAGCTGCGGGAGGGAAAAAAGGGAGATTAGTCTTAAAAAAGAGACATTTTAGAGGACAATGGGTAGACTCACAGTGAACGAAGCTGTTAACATTACATAGCATGTGTGCTTTCTTTACAAGGTCGCATTTTGCCTCTTATATCAAGGGCCTGCCAGTATGGTGTGAGAGATCACACATGCAGGGCTGGCGTGCAACAGAATTTGGCTTGCAAGCAGCCATGGTAAGCCACAGTCTTTTGGCTTCTTTAACCTTCCTAACATGTGGGAATGGTTTCAAACAGCAGCGCCCTCATTTCACATACAAAGCACCCATTGGGTTGGCCCTTTAAAATGGGTTGGCCATTTAAAAGGAGGGGCTGTGGTTTTCGGGTTAACATGCAGCACAAACCCAACTAACCCCCCCACACACACACACCCAATGCTCTGGGATGATCGCTTCACCCCTCCCCCCATTGCGTGGCTAACAGCTGGGGTGATTTCTGTTCAGCCACAGGCAAACAGCCCAGAAGGAATGGCCACCTCTGAATGTCCCCTTAATAAAGTTCCCCTATTTCAACCAGGTGACCATGAATGATATCACTCTCCTGAGGATAACACAGAGAGATAAAGAACGGATGTTGCTTGAATGCCAGCAAACACCAGGACCATAAACTGCCATGCTTTGTTATGCAGTGATTCCAGACTACGTGCTGCTGGCCTGTCTGGTTAAAATGTCCTACCACGGAGGATGGAATAAGGCTGCTCTCCCCAGAAACCTTTTGCAAAGGCTTTGGGAGCACATCCAGAAGAGCCTCACTGAGATGTCCCTGGAGGATTTCCACTCCATCCCCATACACATTAACAGACTTTTCCAGTAGCTGTACTGGCCGCGAATGCATCCCAAGTCATCACGGCAAATTAATCATTAAACACGCTTACTTTTAAACCATGTATTATATTTACAAAGGTACACTCACCAGAGGTCTCTTCTCCGCCTTCTCGGTCCAGGAGCCTGCCTTCAGTGGGTTGGGAGGATACTAGATCCAGGGTGAAAAACAGTTCCTGGCTGTTGGGGAAAACGGTTTCTCCACTTGCTTGCTGTGCTTCAATCTCCTCCTCCTCATCATCTTCCTCATCCCCAAAATCCACATCCCTGTTGCATGAGAGTCCATTGACGGAATCCATGCACAGGGTTGGGGTAGTTGTAGGGGCACCCCCTAGAATGGCATCCAGCTTATCATAGAAGCGGCATGTCTAGGGCTCTGACCCGGAGTGGCCATTTGCCTCTCTGGTTCTTTGGTAGGCTTGCCTTAAGTTTCACGTGGCACTGCTGTGGATCCCTGTTATAGCCTCTGTCCTTTCATGCCTGTGGAGATTTTTTCAAATATTTTGGCATTTCGTCTTTTTGAACGGAGTTCTGATAGCACAGATTCATCTCCCCATACAGCGATCAGATCCAGTACCTCCCGTTCGGTTCATGTTGGAGCTCTGTTGCGATTCTGGGACTGCATGGTCACCTCTGCTGATCAGCTCGCCACGCTGGTCAAACAGGAAATGAAATTCAAAAGTTTGCGGAGCTTTTCCTGTCTACCTGGCCAGTGCATCTGAGCTGAGAGTGCTGTCCAGAGCGGTCACAATGGAGCACTCTGGGATAGCTCCCGGAGACCAATACCGTTGAATTGTGTCCACACTACCCCAAATTGGACCCAGCAAGGTCGATTTCAGCACTAATCCACTCATCAGGGAGGAGTACAGAAACCGGTTTTAAGAGCCCTTAAAGTCAGAAAAAATGGCTTCTTAGTGTGGACGGGTACAGGGCTAAACCAATCTCATGCTGCTAAATCTGACCTAAACTCGTAGTGTAGACCAGGGCTCAGTCTTGTATAGTTTATTCTCCTCTTTCCCCTCACCACAGCTACAGTAAACATATATAAGCACCCCAATCTTGCTGTCCTTACTCATGCCCACACGGTAATGAAAATTATTTTGACTGAGTACATGGTGGTTATTTTTGTGGTAAATAATGTATCTTCAAGACTGGGGACAGTAGAGAAGTCACTGTCATGTGTAAGAAGACAAAGTTAAATGCTAACTGTTTAAACAGCCCTTACGCCACACTCTGGTACTAAAGTTCAAAATGCTCCAACAATCACATGGTTGTTCAACAGTATGTTTGAAGTTGTCTAAATAAAGGCAAAAATCTACTCATAAATACAAAGCCCAAGGCTTTCAAATTTATGTGCCTAAAATTAAGCAGCTAAATGCATATTTAAGCTACTAAATTAAGTTACCTGATTTTCAAATGTTAAACATCCACTGCTCCTCCTGACTTAAATAGTTGCTCAGCACTCCCTAAAAACCAGACCAGTAATATCTAGGTGAAAAACCAATTAAAGAGGTGGCCAAAAGGTGTAAACAAAGCTAATGGGAACATTTTGCTCACTCCAGCTATTGGCAGATCCATCTGGCATAATCTGTAAGTATTTTAATTAATACACGGGGTTACTAAATTGCATTAAGGAACACGATACAAACAGTTAACTATTTGAACACTAGCAGAGTTCTTGAGATGACAGTTTATTTGCACAGCCCTTAAATCCTCCTCCTCCTCCCTAACCTCCCCACCCCCACCCCAAAAGCCGATGAGAAGGGGGAGGGTCAGGGTGTCTGTCTGCCAGCGGGGAGAGAAGGGGGCTAGCTAAACATGATGGCTGTAAACAAGGGCTGTAGAACAAGTCTAGCACGTCCCTTGCGAACGGATCCTCCCCAGTCCTCCACTCCGCCCCCTTGTAGTCAAATAGAAATTGAATGTGTATGGACAGTGCTGCCGCAGGCCCCTGCAACTCCTCCCTTCACTCCTAGCATACTCCCCTTGCTACTGCTGTTTCGTGAACGAGATCAATCTTGTGTTCGTGTTCTTTTTTTACACTAAAATACGCAATTTTATCCCGGACCTTTCGAAATGAGGAAGGGTCTTCCTGATCATTTCTCTGCAGCTTTTAAGCCGAACTTCGGGCCGAGCCCGCTAAAGAGTGTTAGACAGACTTGCCCTCGGGATATTTTTAAAAATCCTTTGCCTTTTTCTGAGATGTAAAACACACAGGATTTGTTACAATGGTTTCGGTGGCAAGAGGACGAATAGCTTCAGTGAGCAATGTGTAGGGATCTCCCAGAGTCCAAACAGCTGATGTTGGGGGAGGGGCAGGCGCCTTGGACGCCCACCAATAAAAACAAACAAGAACCCACAGCTAAAATGCCCACGATCAATCACCCACCCCACCCCTCTTTCCTCAACTTTCAGTGGCAGGATGGCCGCTTCCCCTATCTCCAATTATTGCTGGTGTACCACCCAGACCGCACATGCAAGGAGTTACAAGGGGTGGGGAAGGCTGAAAAGAGTTTTCACACACTGTCCCTCCAGCATATCAACCTTTTGCAAACACAGCTGCAGTGTGCAGCTAGACCCAGGGTTCCCCTGCTAGCTGTCTCTCCTGCCAGTTCGCAGGCATTCACTTGCCTAGGCACCACCCCGTCTGTTCCTCTGAGCAACACGCCACTCAAGCGCTTGTTTTGTGCTTCCACCGGCCGTTAAGCTCTTTACGTATTCGATGCAACCAAGGCAAGCTCGGGGTGGAGCTGCGCAAAAAAATCCGGGCGTAGGCGAGGGTTGTGCATGGAAATCACACAGAATAACTCGCCTGGAGTTGGGCCAAACCACTGTTATGCAAATGCAAAAAATGTAGGGGGAGAAGCAGAAAACACCACCGACACCCCATGCAGACGCATTCCTCCTTGCCTGACATGCAGCATGTCGGTTTTGCACGTCGATGCAAGGGTTTGGAAGGAAAAATTGTTCGTTGATGCACACACCCCCTCCACACTGGCTGCTTTTGGACTGCTCCATGTCCTGTACATAAGGGGGTGTGAACTGGAGAAACACTAAAAAAGAGCAAGCAAAACGCGGAGGGTGGTGTGTGTTTGTTTTCTCGGGGCTGTGCAACTAGACAGTGAACGGCAAAGAGCGTCCGACGCGAGCTCCCTGCTTCTCTCCCCTTCTCCTTTTGTCAAACACACCCACAGTCCTAGGCAGTTGTTATTCTGTAGCGGTTTGCACCGGAGTAACAATCTGCTACAAAAGAAGGCGAGATAATCTCTTCTAGGCAGCAGCCTAAAACTGGTCAAGCTGCCCCACAGCCTGCAGCAGCTCAGCCAGGCTATGCACTGTCAAAGGGCTCTGGTCAAGAAAAAAACAGAGCGGATTGTGAAAAGGTAGAGGCAGCAGGAAAGCCCCTTTGGCTGGGGGGAAACCGCAGTGCTTTACCAACCAGCAACGAACAAGCCAACCCAGAAGGGGGGGGAACGCTAAGAAGAAGACGACGACATTGAATTTGCTTCTTTGGGGGTTGTTGGCAGCTGTCCAGGGCTGCAAAGAGTATGTGAGAGGGTTACTATGTTGAGAAGAGAAGAGCTGATCACGTGTGGCACAGGAGCCAGGGCTGCCCCCTGGGAGCCTGCCAGGGCTGGGAAGGAGGAAGAGGTGCCGGAAGCCTACCAGCAGCAGCTGAAGGAGGGAGCGCCCCGGAGGGGCTGCAGCAGGGGTCGCTGGCACCACAGCTGGCGTGGAAGGACCCCCGCCTTCTCCAGGAAGCTTTTGGGCAGTAGGACGCACGCCCATTACCAGCAGCAGCACTGCAGGGTCTCCCAGCGGTGCTATCGGCCCACCCGCCCCAGGGTGCTGCTCTCTCTGCGCCCCGTCAACATGATGGGCAAGCGAGCCCCGGGCATGCGGGCCCCCCGCAACACCAACCAGTTCCTGATGCGGGAGAAGTACCAACTCATGCACCTGCGGTCGGACTCGGTGGGCACCGAGAGCGGCGGGTCGGACAGTGAGATGGACCCGCTGGACATGGACTCTTACCTGGGGGTGCTAGAGAACTCCCGGGGGGCGCTGATGGACTTTGCCGAGGATCCTCGCTCCTCCTCCTGGTCTCCGCCCGCTTCCTCGGCCGCCACTGACTCGGAGCCCTCTTCGCAGCAGCAGTTGCGGTTTTTCGGTGGCGGCTTGGCGGACGTGCACCAGGAGGAGAGCTTGCAGTACTTCCCTTCCGAGGACGATGTGATCGAGAGCGAGATATTCATGGAGAAGGACTTCCATGAGTTCTGTAGCAGAATTGCTTGAATTGGGGGGCATCTATTTATTTGATACAATTACCCCCTTCCCACCACCCACCCCTTCCTCCCGTTGCCTTTTATACTTGGCTGGGTTATGCGGGCGATCGTATCTCCGGGTCACAGCTGGATCCGGTCGAGCTGGGTATGTGGATTCTCATGGGTAAAATGGTTTTCCAAACGTTAAGTTCATCTGTTGGCATTTGAACCTCCCCGGGGACGGGGGGAGGAGGTGGCGGGGCATTTTGCCCCCCGGGGGGGGGGGAAGGGACATGGGATTACATACTAGGCCTTGTTTGTTGAAGCGCTTTATTTATTTTACCGCCACCCTTTTGCGTTGTTGTCAAGCGGGGCCACGTCATTTTATATTAAAAAAAAAAAACCACACGCTCTGGATCTTAAATAAAAGGAACTTTTGTAAATTAAAACAAATCTACTGTGCGAAGTGTGTGCTCTCTGGGAAAATGTGTCCAGTACTAAGAGCGTCGTCGTGGGGGTGTGGGGGGGTCTCCTGCGTAGGTGTGCGGAGTGTGCGCCTTGCGGAAGGAAGAACGGGGAGGAGGAGCGCGCGGTTTGGCGCAAAGGAGGAAAAAGCCACCGCAGCAGCGGTTTGTTTCTGCTCCCGTTGGCAGCAGTGGCACAAAACACACTCCTTGGCTTGCTTCAGCGAGGAGCTAGAAGTGGGATGGGACAGTAACGTAATCAGCTCCTCCGCTCAGTGCAAGGGGCGGGCCACAGCGAGGGGGGACCATGCCTGGTAACCACCAAGGGGGAGCCTATGGAGGTTGCAGAGTACACGGGAATATGAGCATGGTTACAATAATCGCATTCATCATACTTAAGGTTAAGATTTTGTCACAGTTATTTTTAGTAAAAGTCAGCGGCAGTACAGGGGAAGCTCACAGCCTGAGCCTCGCTGCCCAGGTCGGACTGACAGCCTGAGCCCCACTGCCTGCAGGGGGGAAGCTGATAGCCAGAGCACAGCTGCCCAGGGCAGACTGGCAACCCAAGCCCCACCGCCCGTAGCATTGCCAGAGGCGTCGTCCTGGTTTGGCCGGGGGTCTCCCAGAACTGGGCTCGATCTCCCTGAGGCTACTGAAGCGAATCCGGGAAAATTTAGGCTGCTAAAAGTCCGGCAGCGCAACGGGGCTAAGGCAGGCTCCCTACCTGCCCTGGCTCGACACAGAAGCGGCTAGCATGTCCCTGTGGCCCCTCAGCGGAGGCATAGCCAGGGGGTCTGCATGAGCTGCCCCGAGCCAGAGCACCCACTCCGCAGCTCTCAGTGGCTGGGAACAGGGAACCATGGCCTGTGGGAGCTGCGGGAGCAGTGCCTGTAGGCACTTGGCCGCCCCTGAGACTTGGAGCCGCTGTCAGACATGCTGTCGTTTCCGGGAGCTGCCCAAGGTAAACCCTACCTGGCTGGAGCTACACCCTAAACCCCCTCCTGCACCAAAACTCCCTCCTGCAGCCTGCACCCCTCACACTCTTCCACACCCCACTCCCTGTCCCAGGCTCAGCCTGGAGTCCCCTCCCACACCCAAACTCCCAGAGCCCGCACCGCCCTTCTGCACCCTTATCCCAGGCCCAACCTGGAGCTCCCTCCCACACTCCAAACCCCTCAGCCACACCCCCCAGCCCAGAGTCCCCACCCCCTCCCACACCTCAACCCCCTGCCCTAGCCCGGTTAAAGTGAGTGAGGGTGGGGGAGAGCGAGACGGAGGGAGGGGGGCTCGAGTGACCGTGGAGTGGGGCCTCTGAGAAGCAGCAGGGCATGGGCATGGCCTCGGAGAAGGGGCGGGGCAAGGCAAGGGTGTTTGGGTTTGTGCGATTAGACAGTTGGCAACCAGCCACTGAGGGCATACTGACAGCGAGAGCCTCACCACCCAGGACGGACTGACAACCTGAGCCCTGTCACCCGGGGAAGACTGACAGCCAGAGCTCCCCCTCTTGGGTGGGAGGAGCTGACAGGCAGAGCCCCGCCGCCCAGGGGGAGATGACAGTTGGGGATTGGTTGGGGATTGGTCCTGCTTTGAGCAGGGGGTTGGACTAGGTGACCTCCTGAGGTTCCTTCCAACCCTGATATTCTATGATTCTATGACAGACCAAGCCCTGCTGCCTAGGACAGACTGACAGACCAAACCTTGCCACTTGGGTGGAGGGAGCTGACAGCCAGATCCCCACTGCTCAGGGCTCATCCTGCTGCCCGGGGGAGGGGCTGACAGCGAGAGCCACACCGACCTAGGTTTACCACCTTTGAAATGGAAAAAAAAGGCATGCACCCCCCCACACAAAGCAAGCCTGACACAACCCCAACGGCAAGCTTCGACAGCTACTTATAGTAATTAGAGAAAGAACACAGAGATAAGACTGATAACATCATTTTCTTACTTAAACTGCAGAGGTGGGAACACTGCCCATCTTTAGCGGGACACAGAAACCTTTAACATTAGATATCCCAGTGTATTGTGATAATAATGCAAATCTTTAGAGCCACATAACCCCCCCCCCCCCCGGCAGATTAAATTATTTTTCTAGCAACTGGCAAAACCATTAAAAAAATGGCCAGGCCGGTCAAATACAGGCCATGTGGTAATCCTTTGCTGCCCAGGGCTCACCCTGCCACCCGCTGACAGCCCTAGTTCCATTGCCTAGGGCTGACAGCCAAAGCCCTGAAGTTGAGGAGGTCACAAAAAATCACAGAATCCGTGACCTCCATGACAGACTTGTAGCCTTAATCATACTGAATGTGAAATGGTCAACAGGCATTTTGCTGTGAGAGTGAACCACAGAACCAGACCAGAAACATTATTGATCGTATTTATATCATGAGTCAGGGTGAGCAGGACTGATGGTAACATGGGGGCGGGGAAAATAAGGCAATAGATATCTTTGCACTCTCAAATTCCAGCCATGAATAGTAGGGAGGAATGAATGTCTACACATCCCCTTTTCCCCATTCTCACACATGGGATCAGATGTGAGACATATTTTAATATGACAGAGAAAAGACAAGCCCACGTGTCAGAGGACTGGTCATACCCCAGTCCATTTGCAGCTATTAAAAATATAATAAGCACCAGCAGCAAACAGGGACTCTAAACTGAAATAGCACTGATTTTTATGATTAATAAATATTGCTTGTCTAGACCCTTTTTACATCTAAACACAAAAAGGAAAACTGTTACCCACACACCAGCCCTCATCTTGTTTTCTGGCTCCCTAAGGATAAAATGTTTAATTAACAGTGCAGTTGGAAGTTAAGAAAACAAGAAACCAAAACAAGAAGCAGAGCTGGCCTTCTACAATAATAACATGGAAGACAGGGGCATCTACCAATTTTTGGTGGGGGGAAAGGAGAAAAATGAGATTAAACAATTCTACATGTTACTGGAGATCAAAACTCCATAAGGTTTGAAAAGCTTTTCCTGAGCTCTTCCATGGCATTGCACAGCTCAATGCAAGGCTCAGTGCGCACGCAAGAATGTTCAATAGAAACACAGCAGCGAAGGTAAACAGTGTAGCCTTTGATTCTGAAGCTTTTTATTATCCCCTTCGTTTTAAGGAGGGCAATCATAGCAAAGTGGCACATTGGGCATAAGCTACTGAATAACTTTAACACTATTGTGTAATTTTTTGTATTCTATATAATTAAAGCATTATCATGCCTGCCTTAAGTGCTTGATAGCAGGCTTTTAGTCCTACTCTCCTAGAGATTACGGTGATAGAAATGCCTATCAAGATACTTTAAGGGTCTCTGCACACTTCAGAAATGTAGACACCTAGCAAATGAGCAAAGTAATTTCAGTTTTCCAGGAATGGGTTTGTAGGGGGGTGTTGTGTATAGCCTTATCCTTAAAAACCACAAAAATATACTTCTTTTTTTTTTCCTTTTTTTCTTTGATCCCATACCTCTAAACTTAGGGAAAACTCCCACTGAATACTGAATTATATGAAAAAAGCATTTGGAAAATTTAAAAAAATACATATTGAAGACGATGTCTGCATCCTTTATGTTTGTTCCAGTATTATGAATATAGTCATTCAACACATTAGTACATACATACTAAATCTATCACTGTCTGTATTTGTTCATAGATTCACTGGGAGACATTTGAAGCTCAGGGTTTGTCTGTTTGTGAATGGCACCTTCCTGTCCTTGGAAACAGTTTGGGGCTAATTTTTATCATCATATTTACCAGCTAAAATAAAACTAAGTAAATTCTTTCAGAATCTTAACACATCAGCTGTAGCACTGTAAAGTATAATTTATGGCAATGGGATCTGTGTGTTTGCCTTCCCCAAAGCAGAACTATCTAATTCAGGAGGGCCAAAATTACTTAATTTTTTTTTTAAAAATGAGGCATGGGTTGTTGCTGTAAGTTAAGGGCCATATACAGTCAACCTCTTGATCCAAAGCACAGGTCTAACTGATAATGGGAGGTTTGCAATAAGACCTTGCCTACAGTGGACATTTGCCCCCTTCAAACATGAGTGGTCAGTCACCATTGTAGTTGCACCAATGCAAATCTCTAGTGTAGACAAATCAAGCTGAAATTTACACTAAAAGAAATTAGTGGCATGAACAGATTTGATCTTCAGAAAGTTTATATTTTATTGGCTAATCCAGAACTGCAGCAACATGTTTAAATGAATGTTTGATGTATGGTTTTTCCGGCTTGATATTTAAATGGTATGATGAAAGCTGACTAGTAATATTTACATGAAGGTTTGCTCTATTATTGTTTTATAGGGTGACAAAACAATCAATATAAATTATATTTATGTTTGATATTGCAGTTTTTATCTATTGAAAACAAAGTATAATTGGAATGCAAA